AAAGAAATGCACAAAGGAACCAGGAAATCAATAATAGTATTCCAAAATGGAGATTTCACTTATAATGTGAAAATAATGCCCATTGACATTTTTCAAAATTAGGATACTGAATGTCAACTTTTCTTGGAAGTGGTGAGAGATACATGTGTTATGTGGCCATTTTGGAAAGAAGAACATGTCCTTGAAGTCTTTGTTCACCAGCTTCAACCTTGTCATCAGCGCTCTATTTGATCCCACTAGAGCAGCTGGCAGTAGGCGGGGCTACAGTTTTCCAGCTGAACCCTGTGACCTGAGACGGTCAGCATGGAGCACACATGTGTGTTCTTCATGAGACACTCTGCAGTGGGGAAGCCATCGGGTGCAGATCACAATTGAGAAAACCCTCTGAAAGCACAAGAGATTTGAGGGGAAAACACCTCTCATAAAACACATAAAGAGGAATGTCTGGATTTGTCTTCTGTCATTTTACAGGAAAAGAGAAGAGGCAATGGCCTGCTCTTCTGTGAGCACATGGTTGGAATTCTTATACGATTATGCTTTGGGGGTCTGAAGAAAGCAGCCTCATATTTCAGGCTTTAGATAAACTGCTAGGATAAGCCTTTGCAGATGAGTAGAATTGCCTTTGGAGAACTCCCCAGTGAGGAGCATGAGTCAGGTCAGCTCATCAAAATGCTTGAGTGAAAATGCATCGCTGACCCCTCCGCTGTTCATGCAGTAGGGTTATTACATGTTATATCAACTTTGCCCGGAAGCGCAAGATACCTTTTAATAAAAATACCTGGTATGCACTGCACTGTCTCTCCCCAAAATTTATATGTTAAAGCTGTAACTGCCAGCACCTCAGAATGTGACTGTATTTGGAAATAGGGTGTTTAAAAAGCTAATTAAGTGAAAATGAAGCCATTAGGGTGAGTTCTAATCCAATATAACTGGTGTCCTTATAATAAGAGGAAATTGTGATGTGCAGAGAGACACCAGGGATGTGCGTGCACAGAGGAAAGACCACGTGAGCGTCCAGTGAGAAAGCAGATATTTACAAGCCAAGGAGACTGGCCTCGGGAGAAACCAAACCTGCCAACACCTTCATCTCAGATTTTCAGCTCCCAGAACTGCCAGAAAAGAAATTTCTGCTGTTCAAACCACCCAGTCTGTGGTATTTATTACAGCAGTCCTAGCAAACTCCAGGGGCCTTTGGAAGCCTCCTGTGTCATGACATGGAGATGGAGGAACAGCCACTCAGGGCTTCTATTGCCTACTCTTTTTGTTTGTTTGTCTCCGTATACATTTCTTCTTTTTTCCTTTTCACCTTTCTTCCAACTTCTCTTTCTACCTACACTTTAACTCCAGGTAGAAATCTATGTGAGAGGTGCAATTTTCAGGGTTTATTTGAAGGAGGAAGAAGAATGTCCCATGAATACACTTCCATTCCCAGCCTCTCCTCTTACCCCCTCTCCATTCCAACCAGGTCTGGGAAGGGTGCATATACCCAGAAAAGTTGAGAAAAAGCACTAGATTTTCTAGTTATATTTATTTTGGATCAGATCCTTTCTAATTTCTATATTTGTGAACATTTTATAATTTCACAGAGCATATGATTGAAATATTTTGGAAAACATTTTAATCATTCACAGTAACATGAACTATGCTGCCTTTGATTCTCTATAAAATTACTTAATTTGGGGTGTCTAAATCTCTTATTTTGAAGATGAACGAGAAAACAAAGCTTCTCAGAAAAAATACCACTTATAAATTGAGAGTAGACATTCTATTTGTCTTCAAGATGGAAATAATAACACCTTTCCCATGAGAGATGTATACAGAAATAATTAGATCATCTTTGTACAGTGTTTGAGAATGTTTCAGGGTAATGATGATCATGGTAGATATCATTATTTCCCTGTATTTAAGATTGTTACTGTGTTTCTCCATCATTATTTAATTTCACTGTTTACTCAACATGCTGGATCCTAAGGTTGCATTCTAGGTTTTTAAAAACAAAATTTAATTTTGTCCTCTCAAATTACCTTCATGATCAGTTAATGCAAAATAAGAGTGTGTGTGTGTGTTGGGGGAGGGGAGTGGGTTCTTTCTGTAGGCTTCCAGTATCACAAAGAATCGTAAATGTTTTAATGCATAAGTCTGGAATGGGAGGGCCATCTGTTTTTATAGCATTTGGAAGAAAAAGTGGCCTCCCATCCTTTTCTCTGGGATCTCACTGCTCTTTATAAATTTTAATCTCCAACTCAGACATCATTTAAATATTAAAAATGACTGCCGACTATCATGCATGATGCACAATTACCCTGTCTTGGGAAAAGACAAAGAAATATTATGTTCATCTATCACCATCTGGACTATACTTAAAAGTCTGTTCTTTGTGAAGAGCAGTGGAACATTAAAAAAACAAAAAATCCTAGGAGCATCTTTTATGTGACAGCAAAGATGATGGTAGTATGCCAGTTCTGCGGCTCTGTATGTTTACAAGCCTAGGGTTCCTGGAGGCTATGTGATTCTTTCAAGTCCCTTCTCTGTGTTACAAAAGAAAGAAAGATGGGTTGGTGGGTTTGCTTTTATAGGATCCTAAGTAAATTTCCCTTAACTCAGAATCATTCTTTTCAGCTAATGGAAAATACCATCTGTTATTAATCCTTTCTATTGCCTTTTAAATTGCTTCCTTGATACACATTGGACTTCCTGAATATAACTACAAAAATAACCAAATCATTAAAAATGCAGATAGTGCACAGGGTGTCACTTCAGCTATTGATGTAGTAGTACCTGCATCGTTCCTGCTCAGAAGCATGAGAGCAAGGGTATCATCAGCATGACTGACCATGAAAGGCAAACCGCTGGGCTTGACACGTATCTTATAAACAGGTATTTCTTTACATCTCTCTCAGCCTGCTCAGGGCTTGGATTCAGGGAGAGCTCTGAGAGCCAGGAAAAGAGACTGCTGGAAGGTAATGGACACTTGTATCAGAAGAGTTAAGTCACTTT